CTTGAATGGCTGCTCAAGCTCCTTCAGGTCAGAACTGACAATCCTCTAAAACACATCTCTCCACATTTCCACTTAGCTACTGAGGCTTGATCTTCCCCTGACATAAAAAAAAATGATCCGCAAGATGTCATCCATTTCCAATCTGGAGACACTGTGCAAAAATAAAAAAATATATACTAACTTAAAATTTCAAGAAAAGACATTGATGGTTTTTTATTTACAGTAAATTAAGTTTTTGTGCCCTCATTATAAACATTTTAGAATTAGAAAAGGGGTAATTGGGCAATTCAGATGGCTAGATAATGCACTATAGGGAAAGAACTGGAGTCAAAAACACATGAATAGACAAGCCTTTATGTGACAAATGCACATCTGATAAATCGTCATAGTATCAACAAAACAAGGGACTATGAAAAAGCACTGAGCTGACATGAGAACCCTGACAACAGCTAGGTTCAAAACTACAAGAATAATTATGCCTGCCTTGTAGGTCAGGTCCCCACTAGGGAGTGCGTGAGGGGCAAGCACACATTGAAGTTTCTCTTCCTCTCTTTCTCCTTTCTTTACAATATGTTGGGAACAGCTCTGCCTGGTTTCAGGAATTGTAACTACCCCCATGGCTAAGGATGAGTGAACGACCTCAGGAATGTCAAGCCACAGGATACAAGGCTTGTCTCTGGTAGCGAATGCTGCTTCAGTTTCTTCTCCCTGCCTCCAAAGCATGGTTGGAAGTCAATGACGGGTAAGACCTCTCACAGAGAGATGGGCAACCTAAGCCAGACTCGATCACTTGGGAGGCCATTATGAAGGGACTTGGGGGGGCTGCAACAAAGAGCAAGCAATAGACCCTTGCCCCCCCCCAGCTGTGTGACATAGCCCGAGTCCCCATGTCCTCTGGGAGAAGCACTTCCTAGCTCTTATCCACTTAAGCCTGAAAACCTGATGGGGAGTGGTGCAGCTCCTTGCCTTGCTAGAGCAGATCTGGGGGACTCTGGCATAAGAAAAATTCCTAAAAATCCTGGGAAACCTGCCCTGCTAAGATTGCTTTCATTCATATGTTAAGGGTTCAAGCAGGATATGAGTATGTCTCTCAAAGTTTCTACAAACCCCCTTTCCTGAAAGACACTGACTCAGACTAACCCACAAATTTCTTAGAACTGTTATCTACTGTTTGACCCTTGCCGCCCTGTACTCCTGTGTATTACAACCCAATATAAACCCCTGAAGGATAGGGCTCAAAGCCTTTATCCTCTAAGAAACTGGCCACCTCTCCTCCCCAAGCAGATCATGTCTTGGTAGAGTTTTCTTTCATCCATGGCGGATGGGGAGACTTGCAGGACAATTTGCCCCCACAACAATATAAAATAAAAAAATAATAAAACCTTAAGAAAACAACTCAGAACCAGATGCATGCTCCATCCGAGATGCAGGCATAGGAAGAAACCCTTCACTTCCTCACACAACCAAGAGGAGAATAACAACCAAACTAAAATCAATAAACAACCAGAAGTGCCACAAAATCAAACTGCATGGAACTCTGACAATCAAGAAATTAAAGACACGGTCAACCAGACCAAGCCTACCAGTAAGAGAGGCAGAAGGACAGAACCCATACTGCTGCTTTGTAATGCATGGGCAGGGCATGCCTAGAGAAAGTGGTGTAGTAATGGACTGTGTGGGTGGAACTGGATGAACAGGATACTGAGAATCAGACTTGACTGTGAAGTATGTTGGGGGTTGCCTTGATGGAAGAAACTCTGAATCTCACAGGAAAGTTCTTGGGAGAGCGGGCTAGAACCGAGAAGGTCACCTCCATTTTTCCTCTCTGGCTCCTCCCACACAAGGAGAAGGGGCGGAGATGGGCTGACACATTGGAAAGTTTTGGCTTGCGAGGCGTTAGCTGCATTAATGGGCAGGAGAGGCAGTGGCAGGTGGACCAGGTGAAGCAGCGGGTAGTAGAACTAGTGATCCCACATTTTTAAAAAAATTTTTATTTATTTATCTTTAGAGGGGAGGGGAAGGAGAGAGGGAGAGAAACATCAATGTATAGTTGCCTTTTGTGCGTCGCCTGCTGGGAACTGGCCTGCAGGGAACCGGCCTGCAACCCAGGCATGTGCCCTGACTGGGAATCGAACCGCGATTGCCTGGTTCGCAGGCCCACGCTCAATCCACTGAGCTACACCAGCCAGGGCTGTGATCCCACATTTTTGTGTGGATAACCCAGGAGGAACTTCTCAGGAGAGAGACAGACCACGCAAACCATGGTTCTAGTGTGAGAAAATAAAGCCTCAAAACCATTCATTGCAAATACCTGTGGGGGTAGAGGTGTTGGCAGAAATTCCCAGACACACAGGAGGGTCCATTGGAGTGACCCACGGGGTTCTAGAACAAAACCACCCAAACAGGAATCAGCAATGGAAGGGTTTAATTTGCTGGTGGGTATTAGAAGTGGCTGAAAGCAGCCGAGAGTTGGGCAAGAAGCTTTGGTTCCTCTCAAACCCCTCCCCAACATACAGCCCCACCACAAAGAGATGTGGATTGTCCCTGCCCTGGGAAAGAACAGAGGCTCCACACCTCACTACATAACTGGTGCTCTGAGAAAAAAACAAATTACTACCTGAATGAAAGAAGAGATCAGAGCTCCAGAAAAAGTACACGTAAGTGATGAAAAGATAGCTAACCTATCAGATGCACAGTTCAAAACACTGGTAATCAGAATGCTCACACAAGTGGTTGAGTATGGTCATAAAATGGAGGAAGAAATGAAGGTTATGCAAAGCAAAATAAATGAAAATGTACAGGGAACCAACAGTGGCAGGAAGGAAACCTGGACAAAAATCAATAATTTGGAACAAAAGGGAGACATAAACCTTCAACCACAACACAGTAAAGAAACAAGAATTCAAGAACACGAGAAGAGCCTTGGGCACATCTGGGAGAATTTTCAATATTTCAACATCTGAATCATAAGGGTGCCAGAGAAAGAGAAAGAGCAAGAAATTGAACACTTATCTGAAAACAGAGATGAAAAAGAACTTCCATAATCTAGAACAGGAAACAGATTTCCAGGAAGACCATGAAGGTTAGAGACTCCCAAAAAATTTGGACCCAAGAAAGCACACACCAAAACACATCATAATTACATTAACCAAGATCAAGGATAAGGAGAGATTCTTAAAAACAACAAGAGAAAAGGAGGCAGTTACCTCTGAGGGAGTTTCCATAAAACTATTAGCTGATTTCTCTAAAAATTCATAGAGTCAAGAAGAGACTGGAAAGAAGCATTCAAAATCATGAAAGTCAAGGACCTACAAGCTAGATTACTCTACCCAGCAAAGCTATCATTTAGAATGGCAGGGCAGAGAAAGCACTTCCCAGATAAGATCAAGTTAAAGCAGTTCAACACCAAGCCCTCATTATATCAAATATTAAAGTGACTAATTTAAGAAAAAGATGATAAAAAAATCTGTACAGTAAAATGATAAACTCACAACTCTCAACAACTGAATCTCAAAACAAAACTAAAACAACAAACTAAGGGAACAGCTAGAACAAGAATGCATTCACAGAAATGAAGATCATATGGAAGGGTATCAGTAGCAGGAAGTGGGGAGCAGCATGAAAGTAAAGGTACAGGGAATAAGAAGCATAAATGGTAGGTACAAAATAGACAGGGAGAGCTTAAGAATAGTATAGGAAATGAAGAAACCAAAGAACTTATATGTATAACCCATGGACATGACCTAAGGTGGGGGAATGCTGGTGGAAGGTGGAGTACAGGAGGGGAGGAATAATAGAGGGAGGAAAATAGGGGAGGAAAAGTAATAGGGGAGAAAAAAGGGACAGCTGTAATGGCATAATCAATAAAAGGCAGATATAAGAAAATGAGAAGGAAATTCTCAAAGGATGCCACAGGTTTTAAAATTCATGAAAAAGAAAACTGTATGAACAATTACATACTAACACATTTGATAATTTAGATAAAATGGAGTTTTGTCAATAACATAGAGCTCCCAAAGGCTCAGCTAGAAAGAAACAGAAAAAGTCTTCAGAGCAACTCCCAGCAGTGAAAGTGAAGCCATAATCAAAAGTCCCAAAAAACAAAATCCCAGGACCAGATGGCTTATTAGGTGAACTCTGCCAAATATTTAAATAACAATTAGTACATTTTGTCTCCAAACTATTTTTTTAAAGAAACAGATACACAGTGGAGAGAGTGTGTGAGTCTTTTGTCACAGTGACTTCGTGTGTAAAGCAGTGAGAAGGTATTAGGGCCTTATTTTGGGGGAATCCTTCCATAAATCTTCCCTTCCACTGTGCTTTCATCCCCAACCTAATACATTTTGTCTGTCTCCTGGGGTCGCTTCCTTGCATGGCATGTGGGTGTAGACCCAGTTAATAGCCAGATGGCAATTTGACATTATTCTCATCCTGTCTGGCAAAGAATCCACTAGAAAAATGGGAACAGGTGGATAGGTAAAAGATCATCAGAGGTATTGAAGAGAAATCATTTAGTCTCTCAGAAAATGTGATGCCTGTGGGAGAGGTAGGAATATCACCAAGTTTTGTCATCCCTAACACTTTATGCTCTATTCCCTGAGAGGCTGCATGTCCATAAGGTGAAATGTGCAGATTGGCCCATGATCACATCAACATGGTTGGAATTAGGAAAATGGAATTTGCCATTACATCTGATAGGAGGTGGACATCCAAAATTTATAAAGAATGTAGAAAATTAACACCAAAACAGAAACTATCAAATTTTAAAAATTGGAAAAGAGCATGAATAGACACTTCTGCAAAGGGGGCATAAAAGGTCAATAGACATATGAAAATATTCTCAATATCAATAATCATTAGAGAAATACAAATTAAAAACTCATATTAATGGTCAAATGCCTTGTGTTTAGAGGTGTTTCCTCTTGATGCAACCAAACTTACACAGTGATTTGCATAGTAAATTATTAACCAAAGTCTTTTCTTAAAAAAAATATGTTTATTTACTTCTAGAAAGAGGGGAATTGAGAGAGAAAAAAAGGGATAGCAACATTAATGTGTGAGAGAATCATTCATCTGTTGCCTCTCAAGTGCTCCCAAAATGGGACACAGCATGAATCCCAGGTATGTGCCAGTGAACTTCAGGTTCACAGGGTAAAGCTCACTATGCTGAGTCACACCAGCTAGAACAAGAAAATCCTTTATTAATTATTTATGATGTCACAAGTTTTAAAGTGGCATTTAAGAACATTATTCACAGTTAATTTATTCATACATAGTATCATAAATGAAACTTACTACTTTTTAAAAATTCCACGTTTTTTATTCCAAACACATTTGGAGTCAAGTCCATTTTAATCTCAGTATTTCAGATTAAAAAACCACAAAATGTAAGTTTTAGACATTAAAATGACCACCTATTTTGGGCACTTCCAAAATTTTAGACTTGAAACTATGAACATTTTCAGCTCTACATATTCTCTATGAGTGTACAGATAAACTCAAGGGGGTTTTGGGTAAACCTGGAAAAGAAATGGGCTATCTCACCATTGGTTCTAATTAGGTTTTATACAAGTAACTACATGGAACTTGACTTCACAGGGTCTAGTCACATGTCCTTTTATGGCACAAACCACTGATGGTGAAGATACTGGTGATGGACACCACAGTGGAGCCAGCACCTGAAATGAGAACAAATAGAAGAAGACACAAATTAGGATTGACTTGGAGCAAATTTAGGATTCTGCCATGCCTTACTCACTCACAAACTAATGCTCTCCAATTAAACCTATGTTCTGTAGAAACAGGAGGTTTTTCTTCTGGATACAAAAGTCACTCCCTTTTTAAATGGTCTTGTGTTCCATCCTGATCCATCCCACTAGTCACCATTCAAAAAATGTCACCAGATGCAAAAAAAAAAACACTATGAAATACCACAAGTGACCTATGGCAAGAGATTTCAAATAATGACTCCTACAATTGCCTGACTCTCCTACTGAAACTGAGGTAAACAGAGTTTATTCTGCCCCCTTCAACAGTGTTCCAAGTTGTCTCAGAATGTGCTTGCATTCGCAAGTGTATAATATATAGCTTTCAGAATGAAGTGTATTCAAAATCATATGAAAAATCTGAGTGGGCCTTGGAAATTTAGCTGTTTGTATGAATGCCTTACCTGGCCACTGCAAAACACCAACCAGGACCCCTAAAATGGCATTACAAGCTTCTCTAAAGTTGCATTTCATGTATTTCTTAAAACTCATAATGGCCACAGGTAAATAAGCATAAGGATAAGTAATTTATGAAATACAACAACCACAGCTAGGCCAGCAGCATATTCTGCAGAAAATGCATAAGGGGAAAACCTGCCATGACTTATCTATTTAAGCCATTTAAAAATTAAACGAGGTTTATTTTCTAACATCCATTTTTTAAACATGCAAACTGTGCCTCATAAAAATAAGAAGATACTCCCATGACACAAATTAGATGTTGGCAGAGTCACCCTGAGCCAAGGGAATGAACAGTGCTCACTTTCAGAAAAACAGGTCTGGCATGTGTTTTGTGTTATACCATAAAAGTCAGAACTTAGGTAGTCATGGAAACAATGCTTGTATATAGGAAGGTTGCTATCCAAGACTTTATCTTAAGCAATTCACTCAGAAATAAGGCTGTGGACAGAAAGAAAGCCAGATGAAATATTTATATATCAAGAGCAACCTAGACACCTATGATCTTTAGGTCCGCTTTGCTGGAACTCACAAAGGGAACCTTCACATTGACGTCTCAGTCCACCACTTGGGGCACAGAAGCAGGGCCACTCATCTGCCATCTGGCTGCTACTGTAGCAGTTGTTTCACTCAAATCCTTGAGACTTCCATGATGCCTACAGGTCCCTTTTTACCCATCTTTCAGGAAATCAACCTTTGCTCCTTTCCTGCAAAGACTGCCAAGAACTGCACAACCAACTAAAGTACCAGGCTTCTCTTGTGGGCTTTCACTAGTTTTGCAAGTCAGTCCCAGTTCTGGTAATGACCAGAATCCATACATGCTTCCTTCGGGAGTGACATTCCAGTCAAAATCTCAGTTGAGAAAACCATTATTAATGACTGGTCTTATTGAATATACGCAAAGAAATCTTTTGTCATCACTTACTACTTCAGAATGCCAAATTCTGGAGGGGTCAGGTAGGAAGAAGACAAAGCATGAAGGAAAATTCTTTTCCTTGTTCACTTTCCAAAGAAGAATGAAAATTCACCTTCCCGGGAATCCTCAGCTTCCTTTTCAAAACAGACAAGAGAGAAAAATCTAATACACGGAGTTCCAGAACAATAGAAAGTTAGAGGTATTCTCTTGCACAAAGTCACCAATTGGAGCCCTGCAGAGATATGCTCCTTCGGGCCCTGTCTCCTGGCAGAGACATGCTGCTTTGCCTCGGCCTGAAACACTCATCAGCCCCAAATGACCCTTCTTGGGTCCAGAGTGGCAAGGGCATTCTCCCCAACTGGTTAGAGAGTTTCTGATCAGAAACAAATCCAACCTGAGAAATTGGCTCTTTTCTCACAAAACCAGAAAACAAGTAGCTGAGGTTTTCTTTACTCCAGGTTTAAAACTTTCACCTGTTTGATATATAATTTTACCCACCCAGATTTAACCATCCTTCACTTTTAACACATCCTGGTTCCTTTCCCACACGGGAAGGACTATACTTTACTTAAACTCAGTATGTGGCAGCAGAAAGCCCCTAGCACTACAGGTAACTTTTATTCCAAGTCCCCAGGTTCACAGGGACATCACAGCTTTCTGAAGCTTAGACCTTGCAGACACCCTATAAATCAGATGCTCACCCTTGGACCCCAGTGTGTGACTTTGAGACCCAGAGCCATTTCTATCAGAACCAGTTACACAGAGAACCTGACTGATGCTGTCTGTGCCCACACAGCCGCAGCACAGAGCCCATAATCTGAAGAGAACCCTCAACCCACCCCCTTACCCAGTTCTAAGATGGCGGCACCCAAGCACGCAGGGCGGTCTCAGATGGCAACGCCCCCCCCCCCACGCCAGGTCATCTAAGATGGTGACGCCCATGCAAGCCTGCTCCTCCAGGATGGCAACCCCCTAGAACGCTGGGGTGGCCAAGATGGTGACGCCCAAGCACACTGGGTCATCCAAGACTTCCACGCCCCTGAATGACCGGTCCTGCTTCCTGGGGCACTCATGTGGTTCACCCTCCATTTTACCCCAAATGGCATCGCCTGAGTCCGGTTCAGTCCGCCGGTGCTGGCAGTGGTGCTGGCAGTGGTGCTGGCAGTGGCACGACTCCGGAGCCGCCCTCCACCTGCAGGGAGAAGGGGTTTCACCAGGGGAGGAAAAGTGCGGGTCGCACCCACCTGGCTTGCTGTCAGATCCCCAACATACATGCAGGCTCGGCTTACAGAGCCTAGGGGTTTGCTTCTTCCCCAAACCTGAATACAGCTTCCCTTACTGCCACCAGTGCTCCCGGAGAGTGCAAATGACATTTATAACTTTTAGACACAGTTTTTTTGTCTATTGGCAAATATCTTTACCTCTTGATTCAGCCCACCCAGTAAGTGGGACTACAAGCCCGCGCCACCACGCCTGGCGCACACCCTACCGCCTCCACCGCCTCTGGCTGTGAGAACTGCACCTGCGTGTCCCAGACGACACTCGGCTCAGAGAGCCCAGAGAGTTCTCCTCCGAGCGCCAACCAGAGAGAAAATTAGGCGGGGGGGACCAATCTCCACCTCAGGCTGCTGCCATCTCGGGAGAGGAGAGAGAGCCAGCCCCCACCATGCTTCCCGCCAGCGTGTGCATGCTCATGCGGGGCCACTGAAGCAGCAGCTGGTTTTAGTGGCCAGAGGAGCCCAAGCTAATACGCACAGGCTTTAAGACGCTGTGCAGAGTAAGCCAGTTTCAGCACTCCAAATATCTTGCTAGCAAACGGTGCGCCAGTTATGCTCGGCTGCCGCCATTAAGGTCGCGCCCCTGGGCGTGGCTTCGCTCTGCCAGTCACAAACCAGGCTGTAAGGCAGCTGCCTCAGAATGGCCCAACCGCTGGCAGGGTCTTGCACAGGGGTCGCGCTGCGCTCTAGCGCCCACCAGGATCCTCCCTGCACCCAGGTGGTGCTGGGCCTCCCAGGTGTCTGACGCGCCGCCCCCGCGCGCTCTGAGCCAGCTGGGCTTGGCCCCGCCTCTCAGTGCGGGTCCAGGGAAAGAGGAGGGAGCCTGAAACTGCAATTGCTTCTCTGCCTTGAGATCCTTCTAGGGGTACCTTGGAGGGCTTGGAGGGAGGGAAGATGGACTCGATCTTTCTGGAAACCACCCTGGGTGCGCTGTGCTTTCTCAAAGAAAATCTTTTTTTCTAAAGTCCCTTTTACCGCAAAAAAGCGGTGAATCCAGTCGTTCTTTCTTCCCGCACTTCCAGATCTTATTTCTTGCTAGGGAACACAGTGTAGTGTGCCCTAGATGTCCTGTTGGTGCAAATACCACCAGGAAAAGAAGCACCGAATTTCGGGAACTCCTCAGCCCCGCTTATGGGATTCGGGTTCACTTCCCAGCTGCCTAGACAGCTGAAAGGGCTCAGAGCACTGGATGACCAGTCCATATAGGCGCTCCATATAAGGACCCACGGAGACCCAAGATTAACATAAGATGGAATATCCTATGAGGCCCCTTCATGTCTTAGAGATTGGACCCCAGATACCTCCACTGGATCCCCACTCATGTAGGGATACCCTATATCTTGAGTCGGAGGAAGGAAGTGCCTCTTTTCTTCAGTATTTCGCTGAAACACTCATAAAATACCTCAAACTGGAAGGGAAGGGGGGAGAGCAAGGGAGAGAAAAACGCTCAAGGGGTGGTAAAAATAACCTTTCTTCTTATCTCTGATACACCTGCGGGCCCTAACCAGAGTAACCCCTGATCCCTCTGGGGATGGCGTATTGAATTACATCTCTCTTAGGTGTGCATCCGTGGCATTGTGGCTCAAAGTCTCTGGTAGATGAAGAAGGTCCCTAATCTGTAGGGACCCTGTCCAGGGCGCCACTTGTGGGGTGGACTTCTCCTGCAAGCCCCCCCCGGCATCCTCCAAGGATGAAAATAAACACTACTAGGACATGATGGACTTGGGGAGGAGGGGTGGCCAGTTTCTCAGAGGAAAAACGCCTAGAGGTGGCCACTCTCTCTGAGGTAAAAAGCCTTGAGCCCCTTCCTCCAGGGGCTTCTATTGGGTTGTAATACACAGGAATACAGGGCACGGCAAGGATCAAGCTGTAGATAATATTTCAAGGAACCTGAGGGCTTAGTCTGAGTCAGTGTATGTCAGGAAGAAAGTTTGCAGAAACTTTAGGGTTTCCTGCTTGGACCCTTAACACATGAAAGAAAACATTCTTAGCAGAGCAGGTTTCACAGGTGTTTTTTTTTAAACCAATTCTTTGTGATGCCAGATTTATCCCCTGATCCACTCTAACAAGGCAAGGAGCTCCAGCCCTCCCCATCAGGTATTCAGGCTTAAGTGGATTCCAGCCAAGAAGCCCTTCTACCAAAGAACATGGGGACTCAGGCTATGTTACACAGGTTTGTGTACTACTGAAATGAGTTCCTTGCCTCACCTTTGGAAACAATTCAGACAGAGTTTGCCTAGAACAGGCTTTGTAAGAAACTTGCTTATTCCCAAGTGATTTAGAAAGTTTCCAACAATTCATAATGGTTCCAAAAGAGAGATATTCACTCCCTTAAATGAAGGGGACCGTTCATCTCCTTTTCATTTTGACATTCACAAACTGATTTGTCCAAGTCAGGTACTGCACAATACATGCATGTCCAAGCTTTCTACTTATTTTCTATGAGACACAGTGCTTTGGAGGAATCTGTACATGGCAGCTATTCTACTTTAAAGGTAACATGGTATTATGCATCCTTTGAAACCTTTCAGAGAGAAAACATGATGTTAGCTGCTCTTTCATGCTCCAACTTACTGAATGTGACATTTCAGGAATACTTGAGAAGAAGTGAAAATGCACTCTGTATGAGCATTTCCCTTCAGCACATCATTCCCTTCAGCTTTTCTGAAATGAGTTTATTGTCCTGGACTTATAAACACAGCCAAAGTTATTTGCTCAGAGCCAGTTGTTTTGAAACAGTGTCTTTCCAGCCTGATTTCACAGGGTTCAAACAATTCTTTTCTATTTTCCCCAAGGAAAATGAACTGGGTGACAGAAAATCGACCATTCATTTCACATTCATGTCAACCTTCACAATACTGTTTTGTCCAAAGCACATCGTGGATTGTACTTGCATGTCTTAATGTGGATATGCTTTTCTCTTGGAAAAATAAAGAAAAAATAGAAAATTCTTGTCATTCAAACTTCACATGGTCCTATGCTAGCGTTCACCAATTGGCTAGCAAGAAAGGAATCCAGTAGCCGATTCTTTCTCACTCATACCACAAAGTTGATACCTTAGGAAGATGCTTCAACTGAGCGCTGAAAAGAGATGGCACTTCCTGAGACACCACTCATTTCATCTTCTACTCAAATGAGAACACGAATATGATGATGAGCAGTGTAGATGGCATTTGATGAGAACCCACTTTGCATGAAATATTGCTCCCCCTTGTGATTTAAAGGACTGAAAGCTCAGCACTACTGTGTAATCGGATGGAATGCCCATGGAGGTCCCAACATGTACCTTTCGTTTTACATTCACTTAACACTAACAAACCTATAGGCCAATTTATGTAGTACAGCAAATTTGCCTTTAAGGCTAACCCTAACCCTAACCAGAAACCAAACACTATCAATAACGCTAACCCTAGCCCTAGCCCTCACCCTTACTCTACCCTAACCCTAACCCTAACCGTAGCAGGAAGCCTAAATCTAAACCTAATCCTAAACCAAACAGTAACCCTAGTTCTAACCCTAACCCTAACTCTAACCCTACCCTAACCCTAAAACTAACCTGAATCCTAGTCCTGTCCCTGACCTTGACCTTAACCCTAACCCTAAGCATAACACTAATCTTAACCCGAATGCTAACCCTAACCCTAATTGTCACCCCCCAAAAAAAACCTAGCCTTAACCCTAACCATAGCCCTAACTCTAAGCCTCACCTTAAAACTAACCCAAACCCTAACCCTGACTCTAAGCCTCACCTTAACCTTAACCTTAACCCAAACCCTAACCATAGTCCTAACCCTAACCCTAACCCTAATCGTAACCCTAATTATAGCCCTAGAATTAACTCTAGCCATAACACTAACCCTAAAACTAACCCTAAACTAAACCATACCATAAATGTAGCTCAAGCCCAAAACCTAACTTTAACCCTAACCCTAAATCCAAAACCTAGCCCTAACCATAACCCTAACCCTAACCATAGCCCTATCCTTAGCCCTAACCCTAACCCTAATCCTGACCCCAACCCACACCCTAAACCTAACGCTAATACTATCCTTAACCCTTACCCTACCACTAATCTTAACCCTACACCTAACCCTAGCCCCAAACCTAACAATAAACCTAACCAAATCCTCACCCTAACCCTAACACAACCACAAACCCTAACCCTAACCCTAATCACAGCCCTAACCTGAACCCAAACCCTAACCTAACCCAAACCCTAAACCTAACCAAAACCGTAACCCAAAACCCAAAACCTAAACCTAACTCTACAAATTAACCCTAACACTGACACTAAGTCTAAACCTAGCCTTAGTCCTAGCCCTAGCTCTAGTCCTGATAGTGACCCTGACTCTGACCATCACCCTAACCCGAACACTAACCCTAACCCTAACCCTAGGGGTAAACCAAACCCTAAACCTAATCCTAACGCTAGCCATAACCCCTAACCCTAACCAGACCCCTAGGCCTCCCCCAAATCTAGCCTTAACCCTAAACTTAATTCTCATTTTATCCTTACCCTAAAATTAACCCTAACACTTACTCTCACTCTAACCCTGACCCAGACCCTTACCCTAAGCCAAACCCTAACCCTAAACCTAATACTATCTCTAACCCTAAACCTAATCCTAATTGTAGCCCTAGACCTAACCCTAGCCCTGACCCTAACCTGAATCCTCACCCAAACCCTAATCATAACAGTAGCCCTAACCATAACCATAAAGCTAGCCCTAGCCCTAACTCTAACCCTAACTCTGACCTGAAACCGATAGCAAACCCTAGCCCTAACCCTACCCAAACCCTAACCCTAGCCATACCACTAGCTCTAACTCTAATTCTAACACCAGCCAAGCTCTAGCCATGGCCTGAACATTATCTTGAACACTAACTGAAGCCCTAACCCTAACTGTAACCCCAACCCTAACTTTAAACCTTTCCCTAAACCTAACCCTACCCTAATTCTAACCATAACCCTAGCCCTAATTCTTGCCCTAGCCCTAACCCTACCACTAAGCCTAACCCTAACCCTGACACTGACCCGAAACCTAATCCTAACTCTAGCCCTAGTCCAAACCCTGATCATAACCCTAATCCTAACCCTAACCATACCCATATACCTACCCCTAACCTTAGACTTAGCCCAAGCCCTACCCATAAACCTAAGCATACCACTTACCCTAACACTAACCCTAAACATAACCCTAGCCCTAGCCTTCGCCCTAACCTTGAAACTAACCCTAACCCTAATTCTACCTTACCCCTAGCCCTGATGGTGACCCTAAAACTTACGCTAACCCTAGCCCTAAAACAAATACTATCCCAAACTTAACCCTAACCCTAACCACACCCCTAGCTGTAGCCCAAACCCTAATTCTAACCCTAATTCCAGCCCTAGCCCTAGCCCTAACCTGACCCTAACCATAGCCCTAATGATAACCTTGGCTCTAGGCCTAACTTTAAACCTGATTCTAACCATAACCCTAGCCCTAGCCATAGATCTAACCCTAACCCTAACCCTAACCCTAGCTCTACACTGATGCTAAACCTAAACCTAACACTAACCCTTATTCTAGTCCTAACTCTTACCCTAACCCTACCCTAACCCT